AAACTTACTGAAAGACAGGCAAGAAATAATTAAGTAAGCACATTAAAATACTTAGGAACATGCTGAATGTGCTCAAATGTGACAACCCATGTGGTTTAGTTCGCATTCGATTCATCATCCAGTTGCCTTCTCAACTTAGTTTGTCTTGATTTAACGGGGCGAAAGATCGCCGAGATGAATGGCCTCGCCTTGTCAGGGTTCATAGTGGAGGTGCATGCAGAGAATGCCAAGCGTGTCTTGGCAGGATAGGGTAAACAACTTGTAATTTTGAAGTACAAATGCCGAGGTAAAGAAATATAGACAATGAGGAAGGAAGACGAGGCGGTGATGCGTGGAGGAGGGCCGGTCACCGAAATAGGCATTGGGCGAAGCACTCGGAGGTCGGCGGCCAATGGGAAGACCTCAAGGCAGACTGTGGCGATGATGAGATTACGAGGTGGGGTGCTGACTTTGCAACTGCTGCGAGATCTGGCCGGAGGGGTGGGGGAAGCGATGGCGTAGTGTGGTGGTACTGGCAACGATGGCATTGGCAGTTGCCAAGTGACACTTCGCTAAGTTTCCCCATCACAATTCAATTAACTTTCTTGATTCGGGGCCACATTCAAGAAAATGCGTTTTCCCATCAACGCCTCTAGTGGTATACAGGTTTACACGAACCGATAACATTGAAAATATACAATAAAATTATCCGTAACTTTAAGGACTTTTTCAATACACAGCTGGACCTAGTTAAGGTGGTTCTGGCACCTAGTAAGGATGCCTCCCGATAGACTCCCCCTTGAACTCTACCGGGCAACACATCCCACTGGGTGAAGACCCCGGGGCCGGCCCAGGACACGCTGGCGGTGGGAAAATGTCGCTCGGCTGGCCTGGGGACGCCTGGAAATTCCCAAGGAAGAGCTAGAGTCTGTCGCCAGGGAAAAGGGAGGTCTGGGGACCGCCACTTACGCAACATGCTACTGCGACCCTCACCAGGACAAGTGGACTGAGAAACAAACGAATGCACGAGCTGGAGGAAGGCCTCTCCATGCCATGTCAGTCATGAATGATTGTGGCAGCAGCAGCAGCAGGCAAAGACGAATAATAATTTTCACCATTACCTTTAAAGTGTTCTGTTAAGCACTTAGTTTCATGTCATGACAGATGCCAATGAGTGTTGTGGATAGAATATGCTCCTCATTTGGGTGTTCGTCCTGGCACAGGAGTGCCCTAAACTATCAACCGATGGGATTAATTTCTACCGAATAGGATGAATTGCGTCGTAACCCTGCACTATGATCCCCGATGACTTCAGTTACATTGTCAACCACAGCTAATATCAGTGGCGTACAATATCTGAACTGGCTATGGGCTTTCCACTTAAACCAACCAGGAATGACCAGTGTCGAGCATGATCATACAACCCCATGACTGACACAGCTTGTCAGTCATTGGGGTGGATTGACAAAAGGCAGGAAACCCCCCCCCCCTAACCTCCACCCGACGCTGACGCAAATATGCACTTACATTCTAAAGTTCGTAGATGCCTAATGTGAGAAGAACAGTGTGTATGGTTCTATTGCTCACTGTGTAACGATGAAGGCGTGTTCTTCACTGGGTTTAACACGTAGGCTTTTATTATTGGATATCGTGTTCTTTATTGGTTTTCATTAGGGCTGAAATGATTCACCTCCCCCTGGGGATGGGATGAATTGGCACGGTTCAGGGTCACGAATCAACCGATGAGACTGTAAGAGGGGTCCTTGACTCAACGCAATAAACGATTCCTTTTATCGCTTTTCCAAATAAGGTTGAAGCGTTGATGTGCTGGTTTGGTCCATCTGCCGGCCTTGTAAGGTAGTAGGCAGGACTACGCTCAAAAGTTCATTCAAAAGAAAAATATTGTTCTATGAAATAAGTTGATATTACTTACTTATTCGAAAAATGGAAAATTAATTTTGGGTGGCCCAATTTTTTTGGCGAAAAAAAAAAGTAAGTGCCAAAATAATTATCCTTGCAATCCAAGGCGATGCCATTCCGTGTGCTGCCATCTCTCTACGTCACAAGTCATGCATGCGCCTCACCTCCCGATGACGTCATTACGTGTGAAGTAGCCTTGCGACATCACGTCATCGCATTGTTCGGTTCGGTGCGTATCATCATTCGTGCAATGTTGGAAAGCGTTATTGAATCCATGCGTACGAATGTTTTTTCTTCCTCGTTTCAACATTGTGGTGCACGATAGAGCCTCTAATCTCCGAAGGAGTTCAGTAAAGCCATTCCATATAGCATATACACATCATTGTATCCAACGAATACCGTGTCTACGATCAGATTAAATGACTCCGATGGTATCTGGATAAGAAATATCGATATTGAAAAGTGGCCAAAAAAGTATGGAGAGCTGCATTCTTGGAATTACACCGAGTGACAAAAAGGAACAAGTATAAGTTACAGACATAATTTGAAAAAAAGATGAACGCAGCCCACGTTTCTCGAACGGATGACACCAAATGACAGAGCTGCAGCCAAAGAAGGCAAGGCGCCCCCAAGAGAACGTCTACCATGGAGATGGAGCTGTTAAATCAGGTCCCCGTGCAGGTGCTACATGGATTGTTGCATTGCAAACCAACGAGCAAAAAATAAAAGTTCCGTAAACAAAAATAAAATCTGTTTTGTCATAGTTCCATTTCACATCCAAGGGGCGCAGCCATTGACTGGGTGTGATTTCGTGCGTTAGTTGTCATTGAAATGTGAACGCTAATTTTAAAAGTGAAGAATTCGTTTATAAGCATGTGACAATGTTTTTAATAAGTCAACTGGATGCATCCGCTTTAGTGACGGCACTTAAGAAACTCAACTTTCGTTTTTACACACACGTTTATAATACATTTGCCTAAACCCTACCCCATTAATCATGATTGTGTTCATAGCCAGTGCAGTCCCAACAAACCCCGACCTGGTTCGAGAGAGCCCTTGACAGCTCCTGCTGTTATTTCCATATTCCCCAGAGTATAGGATTCTTCAGAAAGTAAGACGCACCTAAAAACTCGTACTCATAGTCACTAGAGCTATGCGAATCTTGGCTCACACACACACACACACCTTCCGGATTATGAGCAGCAAACGTAACCATTGCCCTTAAAAATACGAGCGCAAAAGAAGTCACATTCGTCAAATAAACACTACCTAATGAGGACAAATATAAAATAGGTGGCGTTTCGGGCACTGGACCTTCTTCAAAGTACATCGAACAGAGTCGGGAAAGTGCGTTTTATAATCCAGAAGGGGATACTGCAATAATTGAATTATCCTGGAGAGAGAGAGAAAAAAACGCTTGATTAAACTGCAAAAGCCCTATTGTCCAGGAAGGGTTTTTGTTTGGAGTAGGCGGATCAAGTGAATGTTTTGTTTCCATGTTCACCACACGTACCGTATGCGGTTAACGCAGACTTGATTCCTCGCAAAATGTATCTATTTGGTGTTTGAACATCTTAACGCCTGCCGTTTTATTTCCAGAAAGGATAATAACGCCTATTCATTCTTCGACACTGGCAGCAAGAACAAGACAAATGTCCCACGATGCAAGTGTTTGACGCGGCGTGGTCACGAGCAGGGGAAAAAGACAATCGGAGTTGATCCGCAGCAGCTTTTGGCAGATGCCAACGAAGCCCACGATCCGGTCGAATGAACGAAACGTGGGTGTGAAACATAATTTTTGCCCCGCTCTCAGTACTGGGGGTCAAGGCTTTGGTTACGATTGGCTGCAAGAAATGGAACCAAAGAAGATGCAAGAAATGGCTCAAGTCCAGCCAACGTTGGAGAACTCCCGTTGCAGAATCGGCAACGGTGGCTGGCCGTTTGCAGCAGATTTAACCCGCGACGTTTGCACAAAGGTTGAAAAGGAAATAACAAACAGCGAACAACATTTTACGCGCTGCAAAGTTGCACCGATCGACGTCGCGTCTGTGAGACAACGCCGCCGTCTTACAAAAGTGCACGCTCGGCAGTGTTGCGCAACTGTTGTAAGCAGTGTGGGGTGGTGATAACACGTTACAGCGTGCCCACCAATGTGCAACCTTTCATATTCTTTGGGTCTTTCGGAAAAAAAGTCACGTAGAACAAAACAAATAAAAGTCTACGTGACTTTACCGAAAGACCCCAAACAATGAGAACTCCTGCAGTCACGAAAGTTTTAAGTGAAGATTCAACCATTCATTTTAATCTGTCAAAATAATTTTCAACATTGTTTGGGCATTTGTATGCGCGGTAAGATCTCACCAGTCTCTCTCACCTGATCGTTTCATATATAGTTTTAAGAAACCCTAGGTATAACTATCTATCCACTTCTCCCTGGCGATTTAAATGGGTTTTTTTACGGCGTGGTTAATGTAGCGGCCACTAGTGGCTCGATAGGTCCCGTGAATCCAATTTGCATACAACACAAACGATCCCTTTTTTATTAAAACAAAGTCGAATCCGACACGCGATTTGAGTGCTGTAGGTGTCGTGAGCTTGTACATGCACGTCTACAGTACAGCAGCCCTGTGTTGTCACTCCACTGCTGGATGTGTGGGGGGAGTGTTTAACCTTTGCGGGTTCGTGGAGCTCATTTGACCATACTTCACCACGCTGGTCAGTGCGGATTCGTGAAGGCGGGGTGGTGTACGCGGCGAGCTTGCCGATCGATATTAATCGAATCTTGCTAGACCTCAACACGCGCAACAATCCCCCTCGGGGTCCAAATTCTCACTTGGTCGCGGAATGTCACTTCAGCGCCAACCGAGGCCCACCACCCCCCCCCCAAATCAAAAAGGCCTCATTCATCCGCACGCGTCTGGCCGACAGCAACAACAACAACAGCGTACAGCAGCAGCCTTGAACGCTCTTCCTTGCAAACATCAACGCAGCACCAGCTGGGTCCTTGGGGAAACGTGATTCCTGCCGCAGGGTGCAACCAGGTGTTCCGAGGATCACTCACTCCCCCCCCACCACCACCACCTTCCCTTAACAACACCAACCTCGAGAGAAGTGTGTGGGACCAGCGGGCGGATTCACCGCCTCGAGGAGACCGCCGCCGCCGCCGCTGTCGTCGTCCCGACTGCTGCTGAACACGATGCTCGTGGAGAGAGTGTGGATGCTGTTTCTCGAAGCTGCTGCTGTTGTTGTTGTTCCCCACAGCTGTTGTTGTTCCCCGCTGCCGTCACCGACGCCGTCGTTCCCGGCTGCCCTTTCGTGAACCTGCCGTTGTTGCGAGGCCGCCCGTTTGGGGGGGGGAGGGTTCTTTATGTTTGGCGTGGTGTCGGCGTGGACCAGTTGTTGTGAACTCTCGTCGCTGCTCGCGTTGGGGGTTTTGTTTTGCCGGCGCTGTTGGTTGCTTTCAGCCGAGAGGCCTGCTGCTTCTGCTGCTCAAATCTCCGCTTCGCTCAGAGCCGCCACCGCTCTCCGCCCCCAGACCTCTCGTCCTTTGTGGCCTCGCCGCTTCACCGCCCGCGCTTCGCCACGGATAATTCTATAACAATGCCGCCACGTACGCTCGCGACTCTGCTCGCCGCGTCCCGCAACGCTCTTGCTGCCCTAACGCTGCGTGATCATTGGACAAACATCCGGCGCTCGGCGGCCGCAATTATCGCCCAGCATCGAGAACGAGGAAGACTCCCGTTGGGAGGGCGGTTCGAGCCCAGCCGAGACCGGGGGTTGGGGCGGCGGGAGGGCCCAGGCAAGGAGGGGGGGGCCCGAGCGCGACTAGGCCTCGCTTGTGGGAAGCCGCCGGGAATGGTGGTGGACGCGCGGGTGAAGCGGGAGGGCGGCGAGGGCTCGACCGAACGTTGCGGGGCCGTGCGGGCCGAGAGAGACCGGCAAGGAAGGGCCGAGGGTGGCGGCAGTGGAAGCCGAGGTGAAGCCAAAAGTTGGGGCCTCGACCGCAAGTAGTGCCCGGATGTTTACGTCATCGTGTACCGATGCGCGCCCGGCTCCCTCCACCGTGACGGAGCACAGTTCGCGACATCACCGCACATCGCACCACATCCGCGTTATTGGCTAACGGCACTATTCTACAGCTTATTTCCCTTCACACCAACATTATGTAAACTCCCCCCCTCACCGTGCCGGTCCAGTACATTTTTATGCTAATTCCTTTGTCAAGGCGTTTTTGTTTTTGTTTCCTCCCACACAGCTTAAAGGACGCGACCTGGGCTTGCTGCCTTCACTCCAACGCTGTCCTCTGGACAGTCCAGTCCCTTCACCTGATGAAGGCCACTTGTCTTGTGGCCGAAACGTCGTGATTTTTTGTTATTTTATTTTTACCTACGTGACTTTACCGAATAGAACCAAAGAGTATGGATCCTTGCAGTCACGAAAGCTTCAAATCTAGAATACCACAGCATTGTCCTTAATTGAGACTTTCAGGACGCTCCAGAATTAAGACGTTTGGGCCAATCCCATTATTTAATGGGCCAATCCCATTATTATTGCGTGTTCTGCATTCCAATTTAATGTCGGACGCACTTTATTGAGTTTAATAATATTGTGATGAAAGGAGCAAAACCAATAAAACTACTTACGAATACTGTAACCCCAAAAACAGGTATAAATATCCCTTCGTCTACTTCCATTTTTTGACGAATGTTAACCAACAGAGTTGGTGTAAGGTCTGAGTGTCAATAACATTACATCATACGAGCACCGTTGAGTAATTTACACTTCTTCTTTTCTTGAACACTTCCCCCCCCCCCCCCACCCATAAATCTGCGAGCCCTGCTGCCTTCCTGTGCCTCTTCCGCCATTCACTCCTGTCCTGGGTCATCCATAATCTTCCACGTCCACTCCTCAGTCCCTCACATCCTGGCCTCACCACTTGCAACCTCCTCTCCGTCTTGGCGCCACGGTGGCTAGGAGATGTTAACTACCTCGCCTGGTGTACAGGAGGTCGTGGGTTCGATCCCGACCCTGACGCCTGCTGCTGTATTATTTAGAGTTTGCGTGCCTCTCTCATCATCAAGGTGGCTAGGAGATGTTAACTACCTCGCCTGGTGTACAGGAGGTCGTGTGTTTTTGATCCCGACCCTCACGCCTGCTGCTGTATTATTTGGAGTTTGCGTGCCTCTCTCATCATCATCATCAAGGTGGCTAGGAGATGTTAACTACCTCGCCTGGTACACAGGAGGTCGTGGGTTTGGATCCCGACCGTGACGCCTGCTGTGTATTTGGAGTTTGTGTGTTCTCCACGTGGTCGTGTGAATTTTCTTTGGGTCCTCCGGTTTTCCCCTCTACATTGAGAAACAAAACGCTTTTAGAGCATTTGGCTGCGATAAATTTCCACACCATACGCCGCTTCGTTGGGCTATCATTTGTGGCCAGGTCGCTCCTGGAAAAATAGCTATATAGCCCACTGGGTCTTACCTGATGAAATACATGAAAAAAAAAACATTACATATTTAGGCCTGCCTCTGCACCCTGGTGCTTCCATACGTTCATCGTGTTTTTATGATGCGGTTTTGCTCTAACATGTCCAACTTAAGCCATCTCAGTCGACCTTATTTCAATGTCAGTTTAACGCGTAGGCTTTCGCGACCAATATCCATATTAGAGGGGGGGTTTTGTTGGATTAGATCGCGTAAATATAAACGTGTCGTTAAACCCGCCACCACCCGACAGGAATAAGTTGGCATTTTTTACGTGACAAACCTTACTAATTGGCCGTGTCGAGTGGTGGCAGGTTTAATGACGCATTTATTTTTACGTAATCTAACCCAAAAAACACATCGATTATGGATTATTCCAACGTGTCCGAGATGCGGTTCCACCATCCACTCCTTGTTGCCACCTTCCCCGTCTTCTCATTTCTGACCCGACGCAGTCTTTGTGATCCCTGGGGTTCACCTCGTCCTCCCCGTAGATGTGGTGCACAAAATCTCACATCCCCCCCCGCTCCCCCCCCCCCCCCAGAAAATGAACCGACGTTGGAATGTGGTTGAAACCTTTAGACTAACATTGGGTCTTTGGCTTTTAATTCGAGTCCATGAATGAGACCCTCGTGTTAGTTACTGGTCTCATGAACGTCTTTCTAAACGCTTCCCTGTCGCCGGCTCGTAAGACCTCCGACTAGCATGGTTGGCTATGTGCGGTGCGAAAGAGGTGCCACATACACACGGACATTCTTTCTCGTTGCTGGGCACTGCTTTGATTTCTCTCCAATACAACCATTCCTTTTGTAATACAGAAACATGTGGCCTAATCTCCATCTGTTCCGTCTGCCTTGCCTCCTAGCACGTGCGTGTTTTCTCCATGTGCTCCAGTTTGCTCACACGCGTGTAATATAATCGACTTGTTAAGCTGATGACATTTTAATAGACCGACTATATAGGCTTCTGCGTTGCGTGTGGATCGTGCAGCGTTGTGAGATGCAGTTTGAATGATTAATGCCGTGTATAAAACGCCGATCGTTATCATGCGATGTGGACCATGGTTAGATGCCTGAACGCGTCAGCTCTCTCACTCGGAATCTGCACCCCAAATCGCCACTTCTGACTTGCCCTGGTAACCCTGTTTGAACCTTGTGCCCATACACTCCGTCTCTCGGTGCAATTACGGGAATTTCACATCAACAAAAAATTATTGTACGATAAATCTTCCCCCCCATCTCCCTTATCAAGGCCCACGTTTATGATCCATGCCATTCTCAGGTAAACGGGACACATACACACAGTTGTTTTAATTTTAGCAGGTAAGGCCCACTGAGCTATATAGCTGTTTTGCAGAAGCGACCTGGCCACAAATGATAGCCTAATGAAGTGTCTGCTTATGTGGACTTTTATAGAAGCCGAATACTCTAAAACGCGTGATGTTGATTCTAAATGTGGAGGGAAAACCCGGAGGACCCGGAGAAAAATCCACGCAGCTACGGGGAGAACATTCAGACTCCAATTATACAGGCGTCAGGGTGGAACCCCACGACCTCCTGTACACCAGGCGAGGTAGTTAACATCGCCACCGCGTCGCTCAGTGACAACCCGAAAACAGAATCGAGAGCAAATATTGGGCGCTTGCATCTGCAAGTCCAGTTTTAGGCAGCAGATGGCAGACTTCGCATTGACTCTCAAGCAATTACCGTGGGATCGGATGCCCATTAAGAACTGCTACATACTTACGCTCTTTAAATACATTAAATAATTAGTTGCTTCATCCCTGTGCATTTGAAGTAAAATCGTCGCTCGTAGCCGGACGTTAAAGAGATGAGAGTTGCTTTGAGGCGATGACAAAAATATTCTGCCGAAACCCGGGATTGAACCAGGGACCTTTAGATCTTCAGTCTAACGCTCTCCCAACTGAGCTATTTCGGCTGCTGATTTCAAGTGATCGTTTTAGCGCTTATAACTGTGACCGCACACGTTACCGGACGGTCTTTGACTCGCAAAGTATCCCGGTGTGAATTTTTACTCATACTGGGAGGAATCTGATGAGCTATAAAGCTCTTTATCACAGATGTCCAGTAGAGGGGGGGGGGGGGGGGTAAGAACGTTACATCCAGCAGTGGATCGATCCTGGCTTTTGACGAATGCCATGCAAACACGTGTGGTTGATACAGTGTTCTCACGAGGACTGCAGGAATTCAGATTCTTTGGATCTTTCGGTAAAGTCACGCAGATAGAAAAAATGAAAGTAAATTAAAACATTTTTACGACGTTTCGATCACAACAATAGCGAACGTCATCTGGAGGAAAAAAACGATGACGATCGCTGGTGTTGTGATCGAAACGTCGGATTTATTTTATTTACTTTAATAATTTATATCTACGTGACTTCACCGAAATATCCAAAGAATATGTATCCCAGTACGGTTGTTATAAATACACACACACACCACACCGGCTATGTGACTGATTTAAGGCTGAGTCGATCTGGAGGCAGCACACGTACGGTTTGAGTGTGAGGTTGATTCAACCTCAAAGGAGTACGGCACTTGGTGCTGTTGTTATACATCAGTACTGGGGAGACAAAGGCGGCCGGGGTAGCTCTGGCCATCACCACCCCCCGCGTGCTGTGGTTGTGGTAGAGGAGCGGTGGCGCTGTGGTTGTGGCAGGGGAGTGGTGGCGCTGTGGTTGTGGCAGGGGAGCGGTGGTGCTGTGGTTGTGGAAGGGGAGTGGTGGCGCTGTGGTTGTGCCAGGGGAGTGGTGGCGCTGTGGTTGTGGCAGGGGAGCGGTGGTGCTGTGGTTGTGGTAGAGGAGCGGTGGCGCTGTGGTTGTGGCAAGGGAGCGGTGGCGCTGTGGTTGTGGTAGAGGAGCGGTGGTGCTGTGGTTGTGACAGGGGAGCGGTGGTGCTGTGGTTGTGGCAGGGGAGCGGTGGTGCTGTGGTTGTGGCAGGGGAGCGGTGGCGCTGTGGTTGTGGCATGGGAGCGGTGGCGCTGTGGTTGTGGCAGGGGAGCGGTGGCGCTGTGGTTGTGGCAGAGGAGCGGTGGCGCTGTGGTTGCGGCAGAGGAGCGAGAAGCACGGTATTCCGGGAGAGCGTCAGAGTCGAGCCCCGCTGCTCCTACGGATCGAGAGGTGCCAGGTCGAGTTGGTTCGGGCACCCGTTAAAGGATCCCTCCCCGTCCCGGCAGACTCCCGTGGAACTCTCCCGGGCAGCAGCAGCAGCAATGTCCCGACACTGGGCCAAGACCCCGGGCCAGGCCCAGGACCACGCCGCTGCTGCTGCTGGCGGGACGACGTCGCTCGGCTGGCCTGGGAACGCCTGGGGATTACCCTAGGAAGAGCTCGAGCCTGTGTAGTGTATAGTGTAGTGTATAGTGTAGTGTATAGTGTAGTGTATAGTGTGTAGTGTGTTGTAGTGTTGAGTAGTGTATAGTATTGTAGTGTATTGTGTAGTAGTGTATTGTATGGTGTAGTAGTGTATAGTGTAGTGTATAGTGTAGTGTATAGTGTAGTAGTATATAGTAGTGTAGTGTATAGTAGTGT